AACAACATAATCTCATGGAGGTTGCAATTCATTCCTGACTATATGAGGCGTCTGCAGACTTTTTTTATTTATTTATTTTTTGTTGATCAAACAGGGGTGTACAGAGTTATACATAAAACAGTATACAATGGAATTAACAACAAAAATTAATCGTGTACATTAAGTATTTTTAAAGCATACAGTTTGGTACAGTCAGCATACATTTTGTTTTGTGGATGTGACTTTCCAAATGTAATAAGAATTTTAGTTATTTTGTCCATTTCCAGTAATCCAGAGTAGCAATCCATAAATAAAACCATTTGCTCAGTTATACTGATTAATTTAAGGAAACTTGGGACCAAAACCGTTTTGTGTAACTGCAACTGAAAAATAAATGAAGAATTGTTTCCGGTTCCATTTTACAAAAACAACACAAAACCTTCCTTAAACTCACTTATAAAATCATTGCATGGATAATATCTATGTAATATTTGAAAATTAGTTTCTTTTACTTCATTAGGAATTATGTATTTTGTAATATCTGACCAGATTTTTTGGGGGAAAAAGAATGAAGGCAATGCTTGTTTCCATTTAACCATTGCAATTGGAGGAACACTTTTATCTGCAGTTAGGATTTTCCTGATATAATTGTTATCAAATTTTTTATCCTTGATAGAAGCATCTACAGACTTGAATCCAGGCAGTTTTACGGTCCACAGTTTTACGCCCTGTTGTTTCTAATGCGTCCAGTAGGGGGGGATGAAAGATACATGGCCAAATAATACATTTGAAGTCAACGCTCCCAGATCATTAAATGTCCTGTTCATAAATATATATTTTAATTAGATTACGCTAAATATGAACGCTAAGTTAATGTATCAGAAAGTGAATTATTTGTAACCCTGCCGGTTCTACGCCAGCCGACCCGTTCCAAGCTGGTATCGGTAGTACCTAGAATGGCAAAATCAAGTAAAGGTGGTCGAGCCTTCTCTTTCATGGCTCCTACACTCTGGAATAGCCTTCCTGATAACGTCCGAGGCTCAGACACACTCTCCCAGTTCAAAACTAGATTAAAGACCTATCTGTTTAGTAAAGCATACACTCAATGCATCACCTAGCGGGTTCCACACAGGCTTCTGCATCTTGTTTATACACACTATGAACAGCAGCTACGCTAATTATTTTCTTTATTCTCTATTTTCACCTGGGGATACTCATCCCGAGGTCCTCAGATTAGGCGGAGTCACTAATTGGATCCAAGACCAGCGACATGATGATTTCAAGGATTCCATATCCGGGACCAGGCCATATCCTGAGCTGCTGCTGCGCTGATGGTCGTGGGGAGTGGAGAACATGAGTCTGATTCCAGCGACGCTCCAGGGACAGACGAGTCTTCGCTGAGGCCATCTTCCAGCCTCAACCACGGCGAATGAAGTTCTGCACAAGACTTTTGGCCAGCGGAGAAATTAAAATGGTCGTGCCCAACTGAGTCTGGTTCTCAAGGTTTTTTTTCTTCACTTCCATCAGGTGAAGTTTTTTTTCCCTCTCCGCTGTCGCCTCTGCCTCGCATGGTTCAGGATTGGTAGAGCTACGCATCGATGAATTTGCTCTTCAGTGTTTGAACTCTCAGTAATGATTAAATCACACTGAACTGAGCTAAACTGAACTGAACTTAAACACTAAAAACTGAACCACACTGTTCCAGTTACTATGACCATTTATGTGAAGCTGCTTTGGCACAATCTACATTGTAAAAGCGCTATACAAATAAAGCTGAATTGAATTGAATTGGTATCGAACCAGCGACTTTCCGCATAGGAGTCGGTTGCTCCAACAAGAAGGCTAAAGACCATAACCTCTAGCATCTGTCGCTAGAGCACCTTTAGAGGTCAGAGGAGTGAGGTTTACCTGCACAGCACACACTAGCTGGCCTCCGTTACATATAAACTCACTAGATAATTTGCAGAATTGATACACTCACCAAATAATTTCAGATATGCAAAATCCCAATTGCAAATGAATTCAATAGTATCTGGATGCAGCCTTTATGATGCAAGCTGAGATTGCATCACTCAACGATGCAATGTCAGACACAATGCACTCAAATGGAGCGAGTGACGTCACTGTGAGGGGTAGGGTTAGGGGTGGGGTTAGGTGAGCCCATTAAAAAGCATTGGATGCAGCCCAGATTGCACGCCACCAGGTCTGCATCCAGACCCCTCTCAATTAATTTACCCTAGTAGCAAAGAATTGTGGCCCAGATTTGGCACAAAGCTGGCACAGCAGGCATTCATCCGGCACTGGCATACAGCATGTGGGCCAAACTTGGCCCGGGTTTGGCAGAGGTGGCACCGTCTTTAAGGCGGCACACAAGATTTGGCCCAGATGAAAAACGTAGTATTTGGCCCAGATTTAAAAATTTGAAAGTGGGCCATGTGAGTTTGGCCAGTCTTGACCCACATTTAAAATACACTAAAATCATTTTTGAGTAAAGAAAAAAAATTCTACCAATCAGGTCACTTTGAGAAAAAGCGTGCCCATAGTGTGCCTAAAGCGCATCACTCCATGGGTTTATCAATTTCATTGCAATCGTGACACACCAACCTATCTGGCCCAGTTCAGGCACAGTTATGAGTTATTAACTTGGCTGAGACTTGGCCCAGATATGCTCTGTGTTTGGCCCTTGTCTGGAAGCCAGATTTGGTCCAGTCATGTACCGTAATTCACTGCGGCATGTGGGCCAAGCAAAACCTGATTGTGTGGGCCAGAGCTGGGCCAGAGACATTTTGCTATGTACACTGCAAAAAATGCTTTTCTTACTTAGATTTTTCGTCCTGTTTCTAGTCCAAATATCTAAAAATTCCTTAATCAAGAAGAATTTTCTAAACAAGCAAAACATATTGCCTTGTTTTGAGAAATATTATGCCAATATTAAGTCAGTTTTTCCTTAAAACAAGCAAAATAATCTGCCAATGGGGTAGGCAAAATAATCTTACGTCAAAAGAAAAAACAAGATTAATTTGCTTACCCCATTGGCAGATTATTTTGCTTGTTTTAAGGAAAAACTGACTTAATATTGGCATATCATTTCTCAAAACAAGGCAATATGTTTTGCTTGTCTAAAAAATGCTTCTTGATATAAGAAAATTTAGATATTTAGACTAGAAACAAGACAAAAAATCTAAGCAAGAAAATCATTTTTTGCAGTGTAAGTAGATTCATTTAATAAGAAAAATTAAATACAGAAATAGTTGGAAAGTGTCATGGTTGATTGTAGCCTAGTTATACGTTTTAATATAGAGAGATGCATTTTGTTGTATTGTTTATATATAAAATTACGTTTTGAAAATTTTAACCAAACAATGCAGTGTAATATGGAGTAATGATGTGCTGTGATAAGAATGCAGTGGTGTTACTACCAGTCAGCTGCAGAACGTTTAGACAAACAATTCACTCCTTTCTAAAATTCCAAGGACCTGAAAAACAAAAACCCGGACAACATTAGTTTTTACATTTATTTATTGACAACAATATCACTAGAGATTGCCAGTTTTCTTTAAATGAAGCTGAATCCTTACATCAAACTCTAAATGCTCACAAAAAAATGTGTTATGTATATAAATACTCTGCAAAAATTCTTTTCTTACTTAAGAGTTTCTGACTTGTTTCTAGTCCAAATATCTAAAAATTCGTAATCCTCAGAAACAATAAGGAATGGAAAATTAAAAGAAAAAAAAACATTTCATCCCATTTTATATATTATCTGGATCGATGCAAAACACATCACAATATTGTTTTTATTTGATTTATGATTTAAGATTTATAATTTAAGGTATAACAAAAGGACAAAGTTCTTGATAATCTAATTAAAGATGTTTAAGTTTTATGTTTGCTAATGTTTTAAACACGTATTTAACATGCCTCTTCATCGTGTCGCGTTTGGTTGGGTGTGATAAAGTTCTGTAGGCGTAAAATAATAGTGTACTCCCTTTACTGGACGCATCAGGAACAACAGGGGTGTAAAAGTGCTTAGCCGTAAAACTGCTCAGGCCGTAGATCTGTCTGGACTCTGGAGCAGTCTCCCCCTCCTCATTTCTGACCATAGATGTATACATTAGATGTCGCCTGGCCTATTGTTGTCTATTGGACGGAATGCGTCAATAGCGCCGCCATCTTGCTACAGGGTAGCGCTCCTTTGAAATGAACGCGGGACCAAGGTACAGTGGAGGACTTTGGACAGTTTTTTTTTCTAATTACGAAAATTATAATTTTACATCACTTTTCTACATTGATGGATCAGTGACCACATGGGCATTCCTGACAAAGAGCTTGTGTTTGTGTGTACAGAAATGTACTATTCACCCTGCCTGTTAAATCTGATCTAATCATGTCCTGAAACACAGCTCCTCTCCTGCTTTCACTGCTCATACTGACGGAGGGAGCGATTCGTTTGTGAATTAATCCCCCGAACGACTCTTTCACTAACGTTAGCCGACAATAATACAAGTTTCTGGCAGCGCAGCATCTCGTTGTCATATTTCTTTTGCATTGTTTGCTGATTTTATTCAACAAAACTAGCATAAGCCGAGTGTTTAGTGCGAGTTGGAGCTGCTTTGCCTTATGGTGAATGCAGTAAGTGACTGTTATCATCAATAACGTTACCTGATTAGCACAAAAGTTCAGAACATACAAAAACAGAAAAAAAACTTAATATTACCTATGAAATGTTCTGCCTTTGTGCTTTGTTTTCTTTGTTTGCTCGTTACTACACTCGTAGACAGCGCTAAAGTCCCGCATCTTCACGTAATAACACTGTCTTGACTAGTGCGGTTGAATTAAATTTGTCCTGGGAGCACTGTACCAATGTGGCGGCGCTATTGACGCATGCTCAGGGTCCCTATGCGATATCTAGTGTATATATCTATGATTCCTGACGTTGTCAAAAGTTCAGCTGTTTTTCTTTTACTTTAATTTCGTTTTTTCTTACTTATTTTATTCTTGTTAAGAAATGTAAACTGCTTTTATCGTATAAGAAAACTGTACATGCTGGTTCTTGTTAATAAAAAATTAAAAATAAAAAAGTTCAGCTGATGACGCGTATGAGAGCTTAGCTCTGATTGGCTGCGCGCTGTGATTGTAAGGCGCCCTCCCATTGGCTGAGATTGTCAATGGGCTTCCCTCGCGTGCCTGGTATTGTTACTTTTTACTCGTGAACCTCAAGTGTAAACTTTACTTTGATTTTCACTTTGGTTACCCTAGTAAGTTTGTTTGTTCGGCTGCTAGTTTTCTTTGTGCTGTCTGTATGCAGGCGGCTTTGTGCGGGGTGAGTCTTTCACTATTGGAAACTTTTCATTGTTAGCTAATTTGGGGATTCTGCATTTGACAGGCGATAACATTTCATACCCGGTAACTATTATTGGGGTAAAGTTGGTTTTATATACACACATTCAGACCTTTTTAACATAGAAAAGTAGTGTTTGCGGATACTAAATAGTGAAATCATGTTATCAGCCAATGACTGTCAACGTACAATATATTTCACAGTCAATTAAATGGAGCTAAAGTGATTTAAAGTCATTACAAGCGATTTTCAGACCGAATATTCAATATAGCATGGTAAACAATATAGAGACTGTGTGCTAATAGGTGTAAGATTGAGGTAAAGTTTATTTTATATTAGTACATTTGTTCAGTAACAACTTCTGACACGGTATCTACATTGTTTACCATGCTGCTTTAAATATTAGGTCTGAAATCACTTGTAAGAATGACTTCAAAATAACATTAGCACTCTTTATTTGACTGTGAACAATGTACTTTGATAGTCATTGGCTGATAATATGATTTAACTATTCAGAATTTGCAAATAATTCTCTTTCAGAAATGTTATTATCAAGGAGAAAGTCTGAATGTGCAAAAAATAAATCCTACTACAATAATAGTGTCATTATAAATAATCAGAATCCTTTTAAAATTCTCCTTTAGTGTTTTATTGAACGTCGAATGTGTTATGCAGATCCAACTTTACCTCAATACTATTATTGCCGTAACGTTAGTTTTATATAGGCACGTTCAGACCTTTTTAATATTGAAAAGTAGTGTTTGCAGAAACTAAATAGTGAAATCATGTTATCAGCCCATGACTATTCAAGTAAAACATAGTTCAGAGTCAACTAAATGGAGCTGAAGTGTTTTGAAGTCATACTTACAAGCGATTTCAGACAGAATATTCAATATAGCATGGTAAATAATATAGAGACAGTGTGCTAATAAGTGTAAGATTGAGGTAAAGTTTGTTTTATATTAGTACATTCATTCAGTATAAACTTCTGACACGGTATTTACATGGTTTACCATGCTACTTTAAATATTAGGTCTGAAATCGCTTGTAAGAATGACTTCAAAATAACATTAGCACTCTTTATTTGACTGTGAACAATGTACTTCGATAGTCATTGGCTGATAATATGATTTAACTATTCAGAATTTGCAAATAATTCTCTTTCAGAAATGTTATTATCAAGGAGAAAGTCTGAATGTGCAAATATAAATCCTACTATAATAATAGTGTCATTATAAATAATCTGCATTATCCTTTTAATATTCTCCTTTAGTGTTTTGTTAAACGTCGAATGTGTGAATATAGATCCAACTTTACCTCAATAATAGTACATCATCATAAATAATCTGCATTATCCTTTTAAAATTCTCCTTTAGTGGTTTATTGAATGTCAAATGTGTGAATATAAGACAAACTTTACCTCTGTCTAACATTTGTCCTCAGAGGGACTGAGAAGAAATGATCTCCTGCTGTTGATTGAGAACAGTCAAACCTTCATCAGTGCTGATTGCTGCTGGAGCTTCAGTTGATCTGCTGTTTCTGCTGTTTTCAAGTGCTTTTGCTCAATGAAGCTGCTCTGATCTCCAAACCTGCATTTCTTCCAGGAGCCCAATGGAGCTGGAGGGTCAGTGGTGGAAAGGAGAACTTGCAGAGGACATCTATCAGGCCCTGCGATACAAAGTTAGTATCCCTGTCAATCATTGCGTTATTTGATTTCCACTAAATCCATGTTAAAACGTCATGTATGCATGTTAACCTTCAAATCTGGGTAATTAAATCAGTATTGGAAAATGTTCATGTGGAGATGGAGATGTCTGTATGGTTTTGTAATGTAATGTAACTTAAAGGGGGAGTTGTTCTGTCAGTACAAAAGGATATATTTACACTCTTTTGCCAATGCAACTGTGTTTAAACCCTTTATAAAAGTGACTTTTGCATAATAGGTCTCATTTAAATGCATGCATGAAATGACTTGCATTCAGTACATCTGTATACACCCATGCAACAGCAAGTTAAATGCTTGCATGTACAATTTTTCTGAATGCATGTAAATGCTGCCTGCGTATAGGCAAATTTATGAATGCATGCAACTGCAACAATGCATTCAACCTGCAAATGCATGCATCCATGCATGAACTGCAACAATGCATTCAAATGCATGCATTCATCTTGCTTATGTATGCATCCCATTAAGTTGCATTAGCATGTATTCAACCATGCAACTTTTACTCTGCTTGTGCACCTTTAATCAATGCATGTAACTGCAACATAAATGCATGCATATGCAGCTGAATTAATGCATATTCTGCTTAATTACTATGCAGTTACATTAATGCAGGAAAGTAGACTTTGCATGCATTTAAATGGCAAATGTATGCATTAAGCATCCATTTAACTATGCAACTTGACTGAGTGCATGTGCAACTTTAATCAATGCAAGTAATTGCAACAAATGCATGTGCAATTAAATTAATGCATGTCTTGCTTAAATGCATGCAGTTATATAAATCCAGAAAAGTTGGCTTGCATGCGTTCAAATAAAAATGGCTGCATTTTAAGCATGCATTCAACTGTGCAAGTAATAAAATTAGAATGCATGCAAATGCAATTTAACTGATTTTATGCATATCGAACATAAATGCATGCATTCATTAAAATTGAATGAATTTAGCTAACTGCATCTTAGGCAGTTGTAATACATGAGCAAATGCAACAATGCATAATTAATTTTCATGCAACTTTAATTCATGCATATACAGTTCAAGTCAGAATTATTAGGCCTTCTGTTAATTTAATACTTTCATATTATCCCCAATTTCTGTTTATTAGACAGAAGATATTTTTCAACACATTTCTAAACCTAATAAGTCATTTCTAATATAAATATATATATTATTTTAATAATATTAATAATATTATTACTAATATTATATATATATTTTATTATGTTTGGCATAATAACAGCACATAACATGTTTCAAGATAATACCATACAGCTTAAAGTGCAATTTAAAGGCTTAACAAGGTTAATTAGCTTAACTAGGCAGGTCATTGTATAACAGTGGTTTGCACTGTAGGCAATCAAAACAAATATTGCTTAAGGGGGCTAATAATATTGACCTTAAAATAGATATTAAATAAATAAAAAACAGATTTTATTTTAGCCAAAATAAAACAAATAAGAGTTTCTCCAGAAGAAAAAATATTATAGGAAATACTGTGAAAATTTCTTTGCTCCATCTAATATCACTTGAGAAATATTTGAAAAAAAGGATAAATATTGCACAGGAGGGTGAATAATTTTGCCTTCAACTGTACAGCTTTGCTACTCCATTGCACAGATCAGCCAGTAATAAAGCGATCATTGCAGTAAGAAGATTTTTGTAGTTGTTATGCATGAATTTATCAGCTTATCTTGGTTATTACAAAAAAAATCAACATTGCAAAACCTCTGTAACGTGATTGTCTTGCTGTTTTCTTCCAGGAGCTGCGGTTGCCTGCATACAAAGGCCAGTCCCCGCAGCTGAGCCTCAGACGGTATTTCGCAGACCTCATTGCTATAGTCAGCAATCGCTTCAAGCTGTGCCCGGCGGCCAGACACTTGGCTGTTTATCTGCTGGACCTGTTTATGGACCGCTATGACATCTCCGTACAGCAGCTTCACATGGTCGCGTTGTCCTGCTTGCTTTTGGCCAGTAAGAGTGGTCTTAATGATTGTTATTGTGACCTCATCTGCTATTATGAATCATGATGCACCAAACAAGCACAGTGAAACGTGCTACAACAATAACAGCAGTAACAAAAAACACTACAGCAACACTCTGGCAACCATTAAATAGACTGCTTCATCATGTTCTTGAATTGGCAAACAGCACTTGTATGTGCTTTAAAAATAGTTAAATAACTTCTTAAAGAAACACTCCGCCTTTATTTATTTAATATTTGGAAATAGTTTTATCTTACAGATCCCTTAGAGGTGAAGCGTTAAGTTTTACCATTATTGAATCCATTCATCTCATCTCTAGGTCTGGCAGGAGCACTTTTAGCTTAGCTTAGCATAGATCATTGAATCGGATTAGACCATTAGCATCTTGAGTTTTTATAATTGTCTTATTTTAAGCTTGATGCTTGTGTAGTTGCATATAATGTACTAAGACGGGGTGCCCAAACTTGATCCTGGATGGCCGTTGTCCTGTAGAGTTTATTTCCAATCCTAATTAGACACTCCTAAACCAGCTAACCAACTCTTTCTGGGTTTACTACAAACTTCCAGGTCGGTTTGTTAAGGAATTTGAAGCGAACTATGTAGGACACCGGCCCTCCAGAACAGAGTTTGTTCACCCCTGGACTAAGATTTTTTTGGCTGATATGTCTAGGAACGGGTGACACGGTGGCTCAGTAGCTCGTACTGTCACCTCATAGTAAGTAGGTCACTGGTTCGAGCCTCGGCTTGGTCAGTTGGTGTTTCTGTGTGGACTTGCATGTACTCCCTGTGTTGGTGTGGGTTTCCTCTGGGTGCTCCAGTTTCCCCCACAGTCCGAACACGTGCGCTGTAGATGAATTGAATAAGTCAAATTGGCTTTAGTTTATAAGTGTGTATGGGTCTTTCCCAGTACTGGGTTGCAGCTGGAAGTGCATCCACTGTGTAAAACATATGCTGGATATATGTGGTGAACCCTGATTTAGAATAAGATTGAATGAATGATGTCTAGGAACTATACTCTCTGTACTCAAGATGCTAACGGTCTAATCCGATTCAATGATCTATGCTAAGCTAAGCTAAAAGCGCTCTCGCCAGACCTGGAGATCAGCTGAATGGATTCAAAAATGGTAAAACTTAAATGTTTACCTCTTGGAGAGCTGTAAAATGAGCCTATTTCATAAACGACTGAAAACGGAGAGCTCTTTTCAAGTTTGCAATGCATTATATGATCTGTTACCTTGATTTATCTCTGCAGGTAAGTTTGAGGAGAGGGAAGACCGCGTCCCGAAGCTGGAGGCGCTCAACAGTCTGGGCTGCATGAGCTCCATGAATCTGGTTCTGACCAAACCGGGTCTCCTGCACATGGAGCTGCTGCTTTTGGAGACGTTTCAGTGGAACCTGTACCTGCCGACTGCTGCTCACTTCATCGAGTATTACCTGCCGGTCGCTGTAAACGAAACGGACCTGCACGACGGCTGGCCGATGACCTGCATGGAGAAAACTATGCTGTACATGTCCAAATACGCTGATTACTTCCTCGAGGTCTCTTTACAAGGTTCAACACTCACTGCCAAATACACACGCAATGCATTTACTGAACAACACACAGCAGTATTCCAGCGACAAGCAAATTGTCTGTCTGTGCCGAAAGTGTTGCATCAGAAACATTTCAATAGCAGCCACCCCGCACTCCAAATGAAATAGTAAGGGTTATAATTAGTGCTGTCAATCGACTGAAAAAAATTGACTAATAAATCACGCTTTTTTTGAAGATTAATAGCGATTAATTACGTTGAAACTTGTAATTTTGGCTATTCAAATGTAAAATTAATGTAAACTCAAGACAAAAACTAATTAAATTCAAAATATAATTGTTTATTAGAATTTTTGTTTAACTTGTAACACAGATTTCTTCATGTAAACAACAAACCCACAATAAACCATCAAGATCCTGGCTTTACAGCAATAATTATTATTGCTATTAAATAGATTTAATAGATTAAATTTTAAATAGATTAAATAGAATTAAAAAGCAATTTTTTTTAGCAATTTTAAAAGCAATTTTAAATAGATTAAATAGAATTATTATTGCTATTAAATTATTGCTAAAATAGTGTTATTTCCATGTTGGCTTCTAAATGGACTGCAAAAAAAAGCCAAAATACAGGAATTGCAGATATGGAAAATTAAAATAATAATATTAAAGTATTGACTACAAACAATTGCACTCATTGAAAAGTTGTATTGCTGTGAGTTGAGAACATTAATTATAAAGTGAAACGATTTTGCTCAGTCCTCCTTTACATTCAGACAGTTGCTAAGTCCAGTCTGTTGACATTATCGGGGGACAATGTGGACCTTTTCTTTTAAATGATGTGAGCTGAGTGTGCGACGCAATCTTACGACAATTCGTAAATTTTTGGGCTACGGACAACGACGTTTAGGCTGGTTAGTTGCTTACAAACGCACGTAGACACACACACACACATACACACACACACACACACACACAACGTACGCAGGACAGGGCAGCTGGAGCGACTTCCTTGAGATTCAACATGCATGATCGTGTTCATCAAATCTGCTTAAACTAAGCGTTCTAAAGTCTGGCTGTATTTCACTGAACTTTTCCGGAAAGAGAAGTTGTAACATTACCGGCAATTTGCCGGAATGCTGCGCTGTGTGAATGCAGAAGGAAGATTGCCGGAATAAGCGCGTGCACGTCTAGAACGTGCTGACGTGAGACGTCTGCTTTAGCCAATCAGAACAGTCAGACGCATTCACGTCAGCACAGTTAATGAGAATAAAAGCCTTTGAATATTTTTCCAGACACATTTAGCTGCTAGATGTTAGTCAGATCACGTTTCTATGTTTCTTCTTAATGCTAACTGTGTAGATAATCATCGATAAAATGTTTATGATAAGCCGTTGTTTGTTTACCTTCAAGCTTTGCGTGTGCCCGTGAGCGCCCATAGCGCCAGCACACACACATATCATGAACATCTCGACATGCGAAAGTGATCCTCCTTATGTTTTCATTGGAGTTGTACTCAATACTGATCCATCCGAAGAGTCTGTAATGTAGTCAAATGTTTACAAACACAAGCGCAGCCGTTTAGAGCTCATTTTTGGTGAATGATGTCAGAATTTACCGGCATTTTGCGATGGATGTGTGAATGCTCTTTTCCGGAAAAATTCCGTATCGTCCTCGCCTGTGTGAACAGCGCTTTTTTGAATATACCGGTACAGTCGTTCCGGAAATTTTCTGGATACCAGTACATTTACATGGACACCAATACTCCGATTTTAATATGATTAAGATAATACTCTTATTAAGAGTCTACCATGTAAGCAGCGATTTTTGATTACCTTAAAGGACCACCGAGTCACGGAATGCGGAGGTTTTTCTTTCCGTTCACCATGCGGTATCAAATTGCATTAAAACAGAAGTTAAAAGTTAAAAATGAAACACCCGAAATTGCATAAAACTCTGGAGGAAACACTGGAGAGCCTGGTGATGCGACATTAACTGTTTTATACTGAAACTTGCCTTCAAAAAGTGCTTCCATGGTCTTATCCAAATTTCTTTGCACGTTAAAGACACACGGCCACAACAGGGAAAAAAACTGCAACTGCGTTAATTGTGTCAATTTTATTTACGCGTTAAATATTTCAAATTAATCGCATACATTAACGCATTAATTTTGACAGCACTAGGCGAATCTAATGAATACAAAATAAAGCTCTTTAACATTATTAATAGACTACTGAGTGACTGATGTTGTTGGTTTGCAATGAATTCTGACTTTTATTTTCAAAGCGTCTGCTAGTTATGTAAACATCACGTAAAATTGTTTTTAAACTCGCTGTGAAGTTTACCAACAGGAAGGCTCGTAGTTGGTTCTCAAAGTATATTAAAATGAGAGGGAAAAAAAAGCGATGGCACAAGTCGTTGATGTAATATGCATAGTTATGGTTGATCCCTTATTATGGTGGGCATATCCCTTATTTTTCACATCCCAGTGTTGACAGGTATGATTAGGATTCATGAATCCCAATGCATAAATATAGGCAGTAAAAATGTAAACATTTTAATTCCTTACATTAGTAAGTCGAATGAGGGCGTTTAACCATGAGTTTTAAAGCTATAAGTTATAAAACATGATTCGTGTGGTATTTTTAGCTGAATCTTCACACACTCTAGGGATCTTGTAAAAAGGGGCATAATGGGGATGAGGATGCTCCAGTTCTTGCATCTGTTTTTGTATGAAGATAAAGTTCCTCTTTTCTGGGTTTAGATCATGCATTTCTGCGTTTCGTGCCGTCTCTGGTGTCGGCGGCGTGTGTGGCGTCCTCGCGGGTGATCCTTCGTCTCTCTCCATCATGGCCGCCACGTCTGCAGCGTCTGTCAGCCTACAGCTGGGAGCAACTGCTGCCCTGCGTACAGAAACTGCTGATGTGAGTTTCACACACACCATTACTGCATGTTAAGCAGAAAATAATTGTATTAATTTATTTATGTTTAGTTATTTTTTATTTATTTATGGGTGACGCAGTGGCTCAGTGGTTAGCACTGTGGCCTCACAGCAAGAAGGTCGCTGGTTCTAGTCCCAGCTGGGTCAGTTGGCATTTCTGTGTAGAGTTTGCATGTTCTCCCCGTGTTGGCGTGGGTTTCCTCCGGGTGCTCCGGTTACCCCCACAGTCCAAACACATGCGCTATAGGGGAATTGAATAACTAAATGTGCATGGTTGTTTCCCAGTACTGAGTTGCAGCTGGAAGGGCATCCGCTGTTTTTTTTTTTTTTTTTTACTTTTTATTACCAAGAACCAGCAAATAGTTTTCTTATACAATAAAACCACTGTACATTTCTATTTACATCCGCTGTGTAAAATGTACGCTGGATTAGTTGGTGGCTCATTCCGCTGTGGCAACCCTTGATGAATAAGGGGACTAAGCTAAAAAAAAATTAATTAATAAATGATTTATTTCGTACAAAAAACTGCTGCTGTGAGTTTCACACTGCTCTTATCTGTTACAGAGAAAATATTTATTTATTTTGTTTTGTTTTTTATTTCATTATATTTGCTTACAAACTGCTGATATGTGTTTCACCTATGTCCTTATCTGTTACATATAAAAATATATATTTAATATTTTTCAGTTATTTATTACAGCGTACAAACTGCTGATGGGAGTTTCACTCTGCTTTTATCTGTTAAGGAGAAAATATTTATTTTAATTATTATTTTAATATTTTTCATTTATTTCAGCTTACAAAAAAAACTGCTGATGTAAGATTCACACACCGTCCTTATGTTGCACATAAAATAATTATTTATTATTATTATTTATTTTATTTTATATTTTTTGTAATTTACAGTGTACAAAAACTGCTGCTGTTAGTTTCACACCACTTCTGGAGAAAATGTTTATTTATTTATTTTAGTTTTTATTAATTTTTTTATAACATTTATTTTATTTAATATTTTTCATCTATTTATTACATTGTACAAACTGCTCATGTGAGTTTCACACCACTTTTATCTGTTCCAGAGAAAATATTTATTTATTTAATATCATCATTTTTATTTATTTAATAAAATAACAATTTGTCCCAGTTTTTTTAGCCTGTGAGATTTTACTTCTTTTTGCAAGTGGTGTTTAACAGAGAGAATATAATATTGAACTGAGCAGATTTTATTTTATTATTATTATTAATATTATTATTATTATTATTATTATTATTATTATTATTATTATCAGACTAATAGAAATGCAACTTTCTCTAGAAAGAGAAATATAAATATAATAGGAAAAACTGTCCACATCACTTGGGGAAATCAAAATTTCATTGTTCACATTGTTACCTGATGTTAAATGGTGTTTAACACTCAGATTAACCCCAGTAAATCTACATTTTCTCCTCCAGAGCTCATGACAGTGATGTAAAGGAAGCAAACAAGCAGAAGTGTCCTCCTTCTGGAGCTCCGTCGACACAAACAGTGTTTCCAGCTCCGGGTTCGAGTGTTTCCCTGCAGCCGTTCATGCAGAGGCAGAACACACAGTACATGCAGCCGCTGGTCATGTCAACGCAAGCTCCACCCACATACCGCACACACACCGCAGGTAAAAATACGAATTACTGTACACACTTTACGTTGACTTTCACGTTCAAAAGCACTTTTTTTATTCTGAAAAAGTGCAAACATATATTTCTAAATGTGCGTTCCGATTTACCAGATGACGATAGCAACTAAAGTACATGCGAAAAAAAACAAAACCGTACTGTTTACTTAAAATACAGATGTTGGTAACAATCAAAGTAATCCACATATAGGTGGTTGACAAATGTGAATGTAATGCATTATGCTCTTCCAAACTAACTCTGGCTCTTCCATACTGCATAATGGTGTTGGAAAGACTTTTATTTTGAAATTTCCAAAAGTGTATAACATTTGTCAAACTCGTAGCTCTTCCATGCATAGCTCTTTCAAACTAACTCTGGTTTGGTTTTTCCATACTGTATAATGGTGTAGGGCAATGACTTTTATTTTGAAATTTCGATAAGGGCACAAATCGGTCGTCAAATTAGCAAACTATCTAACATTAAACTAACGACTAACAAATTATTTGATGTCAAACTTGCGTAGCTCTTTCAAGCTAACTCTGGCTTTTCCATCCAACACCATAATGCGACATGGACTTTTATTTTGAAATTTCCAAAAGTGTGTAACATTGTTGTCAAACTAACTCGTGGCTCTTCCATGCTTAACTCTTTCAAACTAACTATGGTTTGTTTTTTCCACACTGTATAATGGTGTCGGGCAGTGACTTTTATTTTGAAATTTTCCTAATGGCATAAACCGGTCGTCAAATTAATAAACAATCTAACATTAAGCTAACGACTAAAATAAAATGTTCGTAGCTTTTTTAAACTAACTCTGGCTCTTCCATATCATATAATGTTGTTGGATGGTGACTTTTATTTTGAAACTTCCAAAAGCACATTAATCTTTCATCAAACTAACAAACTGTTTGTCATGAAACTTTCGCAGCTCCTTCATAAAGCTCTTCTCAAAATCTGGGTCAGTTTCATTTCATGTTACTCATTGCAATGCATATTTCTCCTGCTGTCCAGCTTCCCTGCAGGCCTCCACTGCCCCGCTGCAGAGCCTGGAGGCCAAGGTGAACCTGCCGGCCCGACAGTACCAGCTGAACCCGCTTTACCCCTGCAGCGCCCCCTGCTTTGACAGGTGATCACAGCAGATGGAAACTACCAGAGCGTTTCACTGCACAGGGGACTTTTGTGTGTTACTGTGGCACTCCAAGTACCAGGAAGCTCTTAAAGGGACGGTTCACCCAAAAAAATGTCAATTTATTTACCATTTACTCTAAACTTCTGTGAAAGATATACTGAAGAATGTTGGAAAAATAGCTTAAAGGAATAGTTCACCTTAAAATTAAAAAAGTACTCCATATTCTACTCGCCTTCAAGCTATCGTCTGTTTATATGACTTTTTTTTTCCTGTCAGACGAACAAATTAGTTTTTATTTTATCATGGCTTTTCCATGCTGTATAATGGTGTTGAGTAGTTTTTTTTAATTTACAAAATTGTGAAAAATCTGTCGTCAAACTAACTCTTAGCTCTTCCAAACTGTGATATTGCGTTGTATTTTGGACATTTCCAAAAACACGATATTGACTTTTATTATGAAATTCCTAAAAGCGCATAAATCTGTCTTCAAACTTACCTGTAGCTCTTCCATGCTTAGCTCTTCTAAACTAACTCTTGCTTTTCCTACTGTGTAATAATGTGGGAAGTGTGACTTTTATTTAGATATTTCAGAAAGCAAGTAAATCTGTCGTTAAACTATTAGCTCGTCCATGTGCAGCTCTTCCATGCTGTATTAGGGTGTGGGGTATTGACTTTTATTATGAAATTTCCAAAAACGCATAAATCTATCCTCAAACCAACTTGTAGCTCTTCCATTCGTAGCTCTTTTAAACTAACATTGCATCTTTAATGCTGTATAATTGTGTTTGTAGTGTCTTTTATTTTGAAATTCTCAAAACAACGTAAATCTGTCGTCAAACTAACACGTAACTTTTCCAAACTAACTCTGGCTCTTACATGCTGTACAATGATGTTAGATATTCTCTTGTATTTTGAAATTTCCAAAAGCATGTAAATCTGTTCTCAAACTAATTTGTAGCTCTTCCATGCTTTGTAATGATGTTGGATAGTGACTTTTATTTTAAAATTTACAAAAGGTCATTTTTGTAATTTTCAAAGTAAAAGTTTCTAAAAGCTCATTGATCTGTCGTCAAACTGACTTTTAAATCTTCCAATCTAACTACGGCTCTTCTAAACTGAATAATGGCGTTGGATAATGACTTTTATTTTGAAACTTCCAAAAAATACATAAATCTGTCGTCAAACTAACTTTTATATTTTACGCGTGTCTCATGAAGTGGTTTGATGTAGATTTGTAACAGAAATATTTACATTTGTAAAAATTATAAAACCCAATCAATTGTAGTGACGGCAGAATTTAGGTTTTGCAAAACTGACCAATGGCGTTTGACGCATTCGTAGCGGAAACTCTGGGAATATTTTCGTCTTGCAGGAACCATTTACCACTGTTTTTACCACAGAAGATGACCGAGTTCGAAAACTAGTTGGCTTGGCATTACCCTATGACGTTATACAGTTTATTACGCTTAAAATTACATAAACGTAAAATATTGTAAACGTTAGTCGCATATAACGTGCATTTAGTCATTGCCAGACGTCAGTAATTTAGTTTGTTTAATACTTCTGTTACAAAAACACTGCAAATCTGCTTTAATAGAAATATAATAACCCCCAGCAGCATATAAGTTAGTTTGACGATTAATTTTGTAAGGTTCAAAATAAAAGTCCCTGTCCAATATTGTTATATAGTATGGAAGAGCAAGGATAAAATTTAAAACTACTCCGACTGTGGTTGTCTTACTCTGGCTCTTCCATGCTGTATAATAGTTTTCAGACTTTTATTTTGAAATTTCAAAAAAATGTGCTAATCTGCACTCAAACTAACTTGTATGTCTTATGAAGGGGATTGATATGTTTTTTGAATATTTCACTTTTTTAATTTTAAACTTCAATCACTGATTTTTGGTTGCGAACAAATACCATGATAACAAAACAAACTAATGTTATTACGAATACGACGTTTGACGCATTTGTAGCAAAAGCTCCGGGAATAGACATGTCTTAAAGAAACGCTTGCCACTTTTTTGCCACACAAAAGATGACAATGAACAAGAAAACTAGTTGGCTTGTTACCATATGACATTATTCAGTATACTATTAAAATGAAGTAAATATTACAAACATAAAACGGCGTAAACGTTAGTCACATATTACGTGCATTTGGTTGTCGCCAGAAGTCAGTAATTTAGAGTATAATGTTAAATGTTTCTGTTACAAAAACATGTGATTCTGCTTTAATAGACGTATGTTAACCCCCTGGTGGCATATGAGTTAGTTTGATGATTAATTTCGGAAGGTTCAAAATAAAAGTCCCTATACAATATCGTTATATAGTATGGATGAGCAAGGATAAAATTTAAAACTACTCCATGTTTGTTAAACTAACTCTGGCTCTTCCATGCTCTATAATGGTTTTTGATAAATTGAAATTTCAAAAAACGTGTATGTCTTACGCATGTCTTATGAAGGGGATTGATGTCACTTATTTAAATTTTATACTTCAATCACTGACTTTGGTTGTGAACAAATAACGTAACAAATTTATGTTATTACGAATACGACGTTAGACGCATTTGTAGCAGAAGCTCCAGGAATAGACGTGTCTCGTAGGAAACACTTGCCACTTTTTTGCCACATAAAAGATGACAAAGAACAAGAAGACTAGTTGGCTTGAAATAGTTTGTTAAAAATTATGTAAATATTACAAACGTAAAATGCGTAAACATTAGTCGCAAATAACATGCATTTGTCGTCTCCAGAAGTCAGTAATTTAGAGTATAATATAAAATATTTCTGTTACGAAAATGTGATTTTGCTTTATCAGATATTTGAGTTAGTTTGACGATTAATTTTGAAAGTTTCAAAATTAAAGTCCCTGTCCAATATCATTACATAGTATGAAAGAGCGAGGATACAATTTAAAACTACTCCGACTGTGATCATCTGACAGAAAGAAAAACTTCTATACATCAAAGATTGCTTAAATTTGGAGGTCGTTATTATAAATCTAAAAAATGCCATGGAAGTCAATGAATGCTTTTTTCGCAGCGTTCTTCAGTACGTCTTGTTTTGTGTTGAACCAGAAGGAAATAAGTGAGGAAATGATGACTAAATGTTCATTTTTAGTGAATTATCCCTTTAATGTTACTTGATTTGAGCCACTTCGGCTGCTGAATACTTAATTTAATCGATGTGAACGTAGATGACTTAAATCACTGTAAAGTTTGTGAGGAATGGGACCAAATATTGAAATGTGCAATATTATAATGCGCTGAAAACTGCCCTTTGGTGTTCGCTTGTTGAGTTATGTTTACCTGAAGAGATAGTTCACCCTAAAAAATACAAATTTAATCAACATTTGCTCCCTTTCAAGTGGTTCCAAACCTTCATAGTTTTTCAAGTTAAACACAAATGAAGGTATTTTGAAGAATGCTGGCAACCATTGACTACCATAGTAGGAAAAACAAAGTACTATAGGAGTCAATGGTATTCTTCAATATATATATGTTTCTATTTTGATCAACAGAAGGAGCTCAGATTTGTGAAGAGTAAATGATGACCGATTTAATTTTTGTGTGAACTGTCCCTTCAATTTCACTATTATTAGTATTATTAATATTATTATTGTTTTCAGCAGTGTTTCTCAACCACGTTCCTGGAGGACCACCAGCACTGCATGTTTTAGATGTCTACTTTGTCTCTCAGGCCCATTACAAGTCTTTCAGTCTCTGCTTATGAGCTGATGACCTGACTCAGGTGTGTTTGATTAAGGGGACATGGAAAATGTGCAGAGCAGGAACATGGTTGAGAAACACTGGTTTACAGGAATCTTTCATTAATAAAGACAGAAGTACTGTGGTTTTTACTAACACTAAAGCAATTGTTTTGCTCTACCTCATTGAATATTATTGTCTTGTGACCTTATAAATGCACTTTGGTATAGTGTTTAGTTGGGTTTTTTTTTTTTATAAAAATGCAACGTTTCTGTTGTATCTTGGTTGTGGTGTTGTAGATTTACATTAAGGTTTATTGCAACTGGAACGTTTGTTTATTTAAAAATTCACTTTTCAGTGTTTAAAAGCATCCACAAATGTGCGTGAGAGAAGAAAATGTGGAAATTCACTGTATTTCTTTTATTTATTTGTTTGTTTTTGGGAATTTGAGAATCACAAAATCAATTCTTACAGAGAAGTCTTATTTTTAATATCATGTAAACTGCATTTGTTCTGATCACAATATGAACGGGTGTGTTTGTAGAATAAATGTTGATTATCTAAAAATATCTCTGCTTTTTTTTTTATATGTATAACAGAGATGTGGTTTAAACTGCAGTCCAATGTTGAATATTTTATAAATTGCATGCAAATCTAGAGTGGAAACTGTGTTTTTATCATAAAATGTGCTCACAGGTCAAAGAAGTAAAAGATTTTAGGACATACATCAGCATGATAATAGTGTAATACAGCTTTAACAAAGTCTGTATGCTTGTTAAAAACAAGATATCATGTGTTTTAATCTTGATTTGCAGAACGCACACACTAAAATGTCACTTTGTTTTCACTAAACCTTACTTTTTTAAGATTAAAGCAGAAGTTTAATTGCATTTAATTTGCTTTTTCTTTATAAAACTGCATTAAAACAGATTATGGCTGTTAAATCACGACATCTAACTCTGGTTCTTCTATACTTTATAATGGTGTTGGATAGTGACTTTTATTTTGAAAAAAAAAAAACGTAAATCTGTCGCCGAACTAACTTGTATATCTTACGCATGTCTTATAAAGTGGATTGATGCATTTTTGCAACAGAAATATATATATTTTTTTTAAATTATAAAACCCAATCATTTATAGAGGCGGCCGAATTTACGCTATGCATGACTGACTTATGCGGCGTTACACGCATTCATAGCGGAAGCTCTGGGAATAGATGCAGGAAACATTTACTACAGTTTTTACCACAGAAGATGACGATGAATAAGAAAACTAGTTGGCTTGGCGTTACCATATGATGTTATCCAGTATACTACTATTAAAATGACGTAAATATTAAAAATGTAAAACGGCGTAAACGTTAGTCACGTATAACGTGCATTTAGTCATGGCCAGAAGTCAGTAATTTAGAGTTTAATGTTAAATATTTCTGTTACAAAATTATGTGAATCTGCTTTAATAGACGTATGTTAACTCCCTGGTGGCATATGAGTTAATTTGATGATTAATTTTTGAAGCTTCAAAATAAAAGTTCCTATCTAATATCATATTGCATGGAAGAGCAAGGATAAAATTTAAAACTACCCCGGCTGTGTTTGTCAGACTGAAAAAAACTGATATACATCGAAGATGTCTTGAGTAAATTATGTGGTAATTTTAATTTTGGGGTGAACTATTATTTTAAAACAACAACAAGAAAATGCTATGAAAGTCAGTGGATGTCTCACAATATGAACCGTTGTGTTTGTAGAATAAATGTTGATTATCTAAAAAATATCTCTGCTCTATTATATATATATATATATATATATATATATATATATATATATATATATATATAATAGAGATGTGGTTTAAACTGCAGTCCAATATTGAAAATTTTTTAAATTGCATGAATATCTAGAGTGGAAACTGTGTTTTTATTATAAAATGTGCACACAGGTCAAAAAAGTAAAAGATTGTAGCACACATCATCATGACAATAGTGTAATACAGCTTTAACAAACTCTGTATGTTAATTGTAAACAAACTATCCTGCGTTTTAACCTTGATTTGCTGAATGCACTCACTAAAATGTTCTTTTATTGTTTCTAAACCTTATTTTTTTAAGATTAAATCAGAAGTTTATTTATATTTACTATGCTCTTTCACTATAAAACTGCAATAAAATCGGATTATGGCTGTTAAATCAGACTGAGCTGAAAGAAGACAGAAGTGTTTGTTGTATCTACAAAAATTATATTTTGTTATTCTGAATGTAGACTCTCATATAACATAAGATGGTGTATGTATTATAATATGATAACAAGATAATGGAAATATAGTTTTGTGGTTAATTAATCATTGTCATTTTTGCATAAAACATAAGAATCAAGTAACAATAAATGCATATATTCAAATAAATATGGAGAAAAAAGTAATAAAGGTTATTTTATGTAAATACTTTTTTGATAAAGGCATATGTAAAGTATCAATCAAGCTTGTGGCAATCAAAACCAATCTTTTCAAGAACGGTGACCAGTATATTTTGAAGTGACTTTTATTTTGAAGTATAGCCTGTGATGCATTTGTAGTAGGCTAGATTAAACCACATTCAAGATATTTCGTATTTTGTGACAAAGAGTGTTTCCTTTAGATGAAAATGAGTGCTTTTTATCTTCTATGGATATCAAAAATCTAAAAGAATAAAGCTTAATGCTGTCGCAAATCTTTAACATAGTTTACTAAAATATTTTATTAATATTATTATTATATATATATATATATATATATATATATATATATATA